GGCTTCACATTCGTCCACCCCCATATCAACCTCTGAATCAGACCCTTTCCACATAGATCCTCAATCGGCACATCGTCATATACAATTTGTGTAAACCCTGTCCTCTGATCTGCAACCTTCTTGCAGGTCCATCGACCTTCAGCCACCCTAATGACCCGCTCACCCGTGTGGATCCAGATCTTAAGACTCTTCATGAGATTGCATCACTCCAAACCGGTTGCGATTCGTGCGATCTCGCAGGAACTCATAAAGAAGAGCGCCGCAATTGAGATCTGCTTCATCCACCCAAGTCGGATCTTCATATCCGCGCCAATGTACCAAAAATTCTCGATAGATCCGTCCATATCTAGTCCTCTTGCCAGTCCTCATATCGGAAATTCGATCCACTTCGTATTCATCTGGACCCCGATCCTGGATCCAACTATCTTCCGGTAGGAGAGCTTCATCGAAATCCACCCGATCTCTATCCGGCTCCTCTAGGCGAGCTACTGGTCGATCTGGAAATATCTTGACCAGTTTGATCTTCGAGACATGCACCACCGGGAAAATGCTGTATGTGGATCCTGCAATCTCCAACCTCACTGCATATTCTCCGATCTTCTCAGCGACACGAAATGGCCCATGCCATAGGTGCGCCAGTTTCTTCGCATATCCTTCGCGTACTCGATCTAAGTACAACCAGACTCTTGATCCAGCCTCCACAAGGTGTGGATGTACCAGATCATTATGGGTGTCGGCTCGATCCGCGATTGCTTCGCGTAAACGCTGATTCACTTGTTCTCGAGCTTGTCGGTAGTACTTTTGCATTCTATATCGCCACCTTCTCGGATCTCGATCGTGCCTGCGAGTACTCCCCACCGGGATCACCGCCTCCAGAGTAGATCTAGGATCCCAACCATGTATCAGGTAGAAAGGGGTTTCACCTCGGATCCGGTCTCTTGCAGTGTTGGTCGCGAATGTGAGCCGCTCAGCATACTCGCCCCAATCTCGTTGATCTAAATCCTCCACATATATCTTAAGAGCCCTGGTAGTTGTCTGGACCATACGCTCTGCGGATCCATTGGCTTGGGGTCGATACGCCGTAGTAGCCCGTTGACGTTGTCCCAGGATCTTGTTGAACGACTTAAAGAAGTCAGACATAAAGCCTGGCTCCCGATCGTGCCTCGCTCGCACCAAACCGGCGGAAGACACACTCCTCGTAGGTCTCCGCGATTGTCTGTGCGGATCTAGAGGCGCTGGCTTTGGCGATCACATATCCCGAGAATAGATCCACGAAGATCAACAATTCGGTGTTGCCGTTGAAGGATCTAGGCAATGAAGGTATATGATCCATGGCAATGATCTCGGATATGTTGTCTGAAGGTTACCAGGTGAATCACCCTGGATCCGGGGGTCGTCCTTTGCCTGTTTCGCAGTCGACACATTCTCCCACATATCGTTGTACACTCTTGTACAGCCCTCTCCAGTGGAAATGATCACGGATCCGGTCGTAGGTGCGACCGATCCCTTGATGGCCACCCTGTAGGCTCGTGTGATAGTGATGTAAAATGTCCCGTTGAAGCGTCTCAGGTATCACCAGTCGCATCAACTTATCTCGGTCCGCAGCTGCCTCCTTAGTTGTCGGGCAGTAGAAGAGTAGATCCGCCTGATCCACTTCGTAATTCATGGCAAGTGATCCAAACACCTTAGCATCCTCTTGTGTCAGATCCCTAATCTCTCGAACCAAATATTTCTTAAGACCCAAGATCCGCGATTCATCATCTTGTGCTTGCCGGATCCGCTCAATCCTCAGCTCTCTCACAACTTCCTCCCGTAGTGAGTCTGGATCAGATCCAGTACGCACTCCAGATCTAGCCTTAGATCGAGTCGTTACGGCAGATATCTGCGCGATCTCGTCTTCGATCTTCACTATCAGGGACTCATCCAACCGGTTCAAGGTTACTAGATCCTGGATCTCCTTTTCAGACTCGACCTCGATCCCACAGTCCCGCTGCAGAGCGGCGCTTGCTAAGTTGTCCGCGCTCCCGTTCCAATCTCGTTTAACATGTAACAGCTCGTGATCCGGCCAAGTACGTAGCCGATCCAGAGCCTGCTGGCGCAGCAGTGTCAAACCCGGTGCCTTACAATCGATCTCACCTCGTACTTATACCAGGTTCGAGTCCCCACAGATCACTAGACGTCGTGGACCCAGATCTTCCAACAGATCCAAACACAACGACAGTCCATGATATTCGGCTTCGTTCATTGTTAGTCCTTCGGCGTAGCCAGATCTGGCCTTTAGCACTCTCCATTCAGGCAATTTCCACAGGATCGCGCTGTAGGCGCCTCCACCGCTCTTTACACGGGCAGATCCATCGAAACTGACGCCGAACAAATTCTCGTCGCGTCTGATAGTGGGGATCGGAGCCTGGATCTTGCGCCGTAGCTCATTCTTAGGGGCAATCGGAATTAGCGCCTTATCCACCTGTGATCTAGGCGTAATGCTCGCCGCCAATGCTC